CCTATCCCCTTCCCCTTTCGAGCTCTTAAAAATGATTTGGGAGCTGTTCAAGTCATTATAACAATTGTTAGTTGTTATTACTACGAAAATAATAATATCATTATAACTATTAGTTACAATTTATATGGACTCGACGTGATATAGTATTACAACTTGCTCTAGGCACCTTAAAACCTAGAGCCGGCCCTGACCGTTATATTAAATTGTAATTTTAAACATTTTCAATTATATATTATATAATTATATGTATTATGAAGGTATATCTGCTAAATAGGGGACAAGTACATATTTATAAAATAGTTTTAGATTTTGAGAGGAGCGAAAAATATACTGATTTCATTACAATGATAACATAATGGTGAGTACTCTTTTTTATTTTTGTGTTTGAAGGCACTTTTTCTGGTAGAAAAAATGTTCAGCAGAGCAAATAGTGATCTTCAATTTGCTGAAAAGTTTCTGATAGCAAATTGAATTTAGTTAGTACTTTTAGGAGGTCAAAATTGATAATAATAAGTACTTTTGAAAATAATTGGGAAAAAAAAATCAAAAATTTAATATTATTATTAAATTAATTGTTTGGTAACCTTGGTTACCAAAAAGTTAGACCGTCTTTGCTCATCGTATAAAATGATTTATCATTGAATTAAAATTTAAGACATCCATTACAACAGTGGCTATTCGGCTAGATACGATCGACACCTACGCCTACCTACTGTATTGCCGAGTGGTTACCTAATTCATGGTTTTTTTTGATATTATATATTGATATATTATATTATGCATGAAAATGAATCCATTGCTACAGGCTATAGGTAATAAAATATCAGAATATTATTTCAAAGTGACCACTATATTGTATTTTTAAAATATACCGATTTGTATAAACCATGTTGTATAAGCCTGGATGGATTTTTTCATTTTGAATAATTTCTTACTCATATAAATCACAGAAGAACCGCATCCTAAAAAAGTTATAATAAATAAAAATTTAATTGTGTGATAAGGCCAGATATTGATAAGACTCACTTTTAGAGGTTATGTAAGTAAATTGGAAATAATGTGATTTATATAACAATAAATCAAAACATAAATAACAAAGAATTAATATAATAAAACATAGATAACTAAAAAAACTGCAATATTATACTATAGACATTTATATACAAAAAACTTGTTTATTAGTTATGCATTGGAAACACTGGAAAACAAATACCTACAAAAATGGTGTAGCTATACAATGTCTGTACTTTACATTTTTGTGAAATCATATTTGTGGACTATTATCCTTAGAACAAACATTTAAATAACGCTCAACTACCTCAATATAATTCTGTATGAGGTACATATAGGTACACCTATTTGTTAAAAACATTATTCACTAAATAACTTACTGTAAAAAAGTAGGGTTTTCATTTGAAAACCAGAAGTACGTATTGCAATCACTCGACACTCTTTAAGTAGTATAAACAAATTCAATATTTAAAAAAAATGGTTTTCGTGTATTTGAGTACAACATTTGGCATTCAAGGAAACAATGTTGGTGAGTATTCTTAGTAAATCAGCCTGTACGTGTATAGCGCATTTATTTTGTGTTCTTATTTTGGAAAAAAAAACAGTTGTATTTTAGCCTTTAGGTTGAATTATTTTACCCAGACTTTCTATTGTTCCACCGGCAATAATATTATGTTTTTATCACCAAATTTCGTTAACAAGTTGACCATGACAGAAATTGGCCAATCAGCACAACATTGAGATTTGATCGGCTCACCTACTGGTAGTGAAACAGCTTGACGCGATGATCTTCTCCAAGGGCCTACTGTACGAGTTCATCAACAAAACTTCAAATAATTGGTTATTGATCGTATTGGAATTCGTATTCTATTATATGTGCGTCTACCAATACAAAAACAATTATTTGTTATAACTTATACTTCAATGACAAAATATTTATCAATAGAACAACATAATTACTGTAACTATTTATATACATTTTAATCAAAACAATTTTGTACAGTTCTATAAAAAAAATATAAATTAACACCGTGAAATATTCTGTGTATGATTAATAAATTAATTAGGTACACAAATACAAATTACATAATACCTACATGATATTATAATATTGAACATGTATGACAATATATTAATATAAGCTAAAACTAGATATTCATTTAGGATATTTATTGGGGACCCGTGTCATAAAAATTCTTGAATTAAAATAAATTTTTACCGTTTTCATAGTTTAGGATTTAGAGAGGTAAAACCAATAAAAATTGAACATGTATATTTAATTATTATTATTTAAAAAATAGACTTAAATGACAAATTCAAACCTTTTTCAGAGTCAACTAGATTAATTTGCTTTACCTTGGAATGATAAAAACATCGTAATTCTTATATTGTACGTGTGTTAGACAAAGAAAAAAGTTCAACGCTTCCAAGTTCCTTAAAAACATTTATCCGGTAGTTAAAAATATTGGGCTGTAACAACAAATTTGGGCAGCTTAATTTTTATGCGGCATCTGTGATAAGAGTCAATCAAGCCTGTGGACTTGAATTAATAACAACAGAAGTCAACGTCCGTGTAAAGATAAAATCTATTATAGAATTTCTAAAGGAACGAGTAGAATCTTACTGGAGTAGCAGGTGGTAGATTTTGCAGATAATAGAAAGGTATTCAATCCGAACGAACCGAAACGATTGATAAACAAAAACGCTCTGCAATTATTATAATACGTTATTGTTTTATAAATCTTTTTATGGACTCCTATATTTGTTTTACCCATCATCGGGCTTCTGTTAATGGGCTCATTATTTATTTAGTTGTATATTTTACTTCAAGTTTTAAGCATATGGTATATTTTGGTTCCATAACAAACTTATACAATTGTTGTCCAATTGATAAATGTAAATAATATTCAAATTCAAATTAATATTATAATGAATAGTGTCATAGTTAATCATTGTTAACGATTATTATGCCACCTACGAGGGGGGTGCAGATTTTAAAATTCTGAAATTTACTTTTCATCACCAAAAAAAATGATAATAATAACCACATTGTTAGAATATTCTGTAGGTATCTAAACATATATTATTATTAGGTATATATTTATATAACATTCTACAGCTGAATATACCGACTTCAGCTAGGAAAAAATGAACAGTAATTACCATAAAATACGGCTCTATTTATCAGTGTACCTCGCTCTGTGAACGCACTCACAAGATACCCTAAATGTTATAATAAATCTTTGGCATCATCTGAGATTTTTTTACGGTCAATCGTACTCCGCGGTCATTATCGCTAGTCTCGACGCCTCAGTATTCCCGACGCCGAACGATATTTAAATAATATTATGCATAGTTTTCAATAATAAGTAGTAAACCATCCTAAAAACTATAGAAAATTAGAAAACTACAAATCTTTCTTTTTGCTTTGCCTTCAAAAACTATCAACTAGTGCAGCTGTCCACTTCTTTAAACACGGCACAGTGACCATGTTGTAATATTGAAGGAAAATAATGATTATAGCCATACAGCTTCTTTATAGACCAATAATTGTTAGGGGCGAGAACTCATTATAATTTACGCATGCTCCTGTATGACTTATAAAACTAATAAATATTTTATATTCAATAAAATAACTTAAGGGCAAGTCATTCAATTTTAAACATCCAAATATTACATTATCAATGCTGTTGGTGACCGGATTTTTATTAAGGCACAAGAACGTATGTACAGGCACATTCTTAAAACTTAGGACGGAGGCGTTACAATACAAGCTTTACGGAAAAATAAACTTAGACCATTTCAACGACCAAAAATTACTTAACAATAAAACACATCACCCAAAGAAAAAGATAGACGGATTTCGATCATTTTTTTTTAGGAAAACTTTATATTTATTTTAAATTTGACTATTTTTTGAGACGTTAGAATTTTTCGTGTACCTAATTATATGACAAGTTTTTGTACTAAAAATGCGTCTGCTCCGACCCCTTTAAGGCAAAGCTTACAATTGTTTTTCATTTAAATGCAAATATATTATTTCACTTAACTTTTTGAGTTAAAAACACAATTCAACACAAAAATCAATACCTGATTTTATCAACGCAATTATTTAAAATGTCTTTTTTCCAAACCATTTATTATTTTCTATAGCAAGATGTAATAAATTTAATTACACATTTTCTATTATGGGCGAAAAACTTCGAAACTAATAAATTTGAATTAATGACTAAATATGTTACATACTAAAATATTTATATTTTTTTCATTTATAATAATACGCCCTTATTAATTTAACGATTGTCATTAATCATTTACCTATTATTTGTTCAAAAAAAAATATCTTCAGTACCTACTCTTATTTAAAAATGAAACGGATCATACCCGTCATAATGTTTACTATATATTATAAACTCATTAATTATGACCTATTTAACAGCTACGAACTAACAAAAAACTTACGGAAGTATGTCGAATGTAAGTTAAAAGTAGGTTATAAAATTAAAAATCAAAATCGTAACACTATTACAAATGTAATAGGTACCTTTATGTAATGCAATAATTTGACTGTTTATATTATTATTAATGTTTTTTTCGGTTGTCTTAAAATATTAATATTTGAATCACTTATTTGCCCGGGAAACGACAGTGCTATAATATAATACATATTTCCACAAGTCAAGGCAATCGGACAAAGCGATTATAGACAAAAAAGAAGTCAAGTGCGCTGTAAAGGTCAATAATTATGAATAGTGCGTGGATAGGTAGGTGTATAGAAATGCATACTACGAACTCGGGGAAAGGGTAAGGGAGAGAGAGAGAGTGAGTGAGAAAGAAAGAAGGAGTCGGATTTCGACTCATCCCAGTTCTGACCCTCAAAACAAATAATTACGCCAGCAAGCCTATATAGGTACATAATATATTATATAGGTGCCTGAGTGGGGAAGTTAATGCGGATTACGCGAGTATATAACCAGCGAGCGGACAGACATATGCCTCCTATGTTGCAATAACCGTATATATTTATTTTACATTTTTTTTCACTTTCATTTCTGTCGAGAGTCCGCGAGCTCGAACCTAAACTCGTACCAGTCTGACGCTGCAGGCTCGTCGTCGTACCTCTTTCATTTTCGTCTACATTTAGCTGATTATTTTTCAAATAATATTATCACTGTTGTTCTCTTTTATATTGTTTTAATCTATAAACAAGTGTTTAACTTCGAATTATGCTTGTGACAAAACGTTTTTTCACCGAAATTACTGTGAATGGTGACGGATTCCAGTGGTACACCTGATGCAAAAATCATCCATTTTATCACAATACTTTGGACGAGAGTGCGGTGAAAAATCGTCAGGAGAGCTTCGATTGTGACAGTGACTGCATCGACGAAACTCAGGTACCTACCTACACATATCTTGTTAGCAATATTCCTAGTACACTATAATAGGTATTTTATAGTCTGTCAATGAAAACGTTCGTTTCCTCATCTATTCTTATCCTTATCTAATTGAAATTTTTAATTTCATCCCATAAGACAACAAAATTCATAATATTATAAATTATTGTTCGAATAACTTTACAACGATAGCTAGTATAAATATTTTCGGGTTCAGCGTCGCAATCGTCATTACGTTACCAAGTAGGTTACCTAGTAGGGTACCTACTATAAAGCCATATATACATAATACTTCACAAAAATATAACTTCATCCTAATAAGCATTAGTAATAACGCATATTATTATTTGTTTAACCGAGTTCTACGAGCTATATACGAGTTGGCGTTTGGGTATAATAGAAGGTATGTCGCCTACCGTGTAACCGAAAAAATATGTTTCAGTTTGTCACTTCGGCATTTAGGGCAGTCTAGTTATTGAATAAATTTAAGCATTAATAAAAAAAATACCGATTTTCAGAAAAGACAAAAGTCAGTAAAATACCTGTGTATGTATACTGTTGTTATTTTACTTTTATTTTCATTTACGCAGCTACGATATAATAATAATAATATAACAAGCTAATACTTGTATAGTGTAAGTGAATGTTGCGTTCAAAAATACATAGCAAGTTATTAAAAATTACATAACCACGTATATGTATTTTTATAGAAATCGCCACACTAGGTCAATATGCTTTAAACTAGTTTATGAATCGCGTATTATTTAACCACTCATGTCCGTGTTGAATACACCAATTACAATATTTCGTGTATATTTTAGTATTTTACGCACTACCTGTAATATACACGTTGTAAGGGAAACACGAAGAATCTTATTTTACATAATACGTTTATATATTATTGCTATTGGATCTTTAGGTACCTATTTCCATGTGTTTTTTTATGTAACAAATTATATAAATGGTTGTAGGATGTTTGCAGTGGTTGTTAAAGTTGTGTGTATACAAGTATTTTAAACCCTAGAATTTACAATAATATGTACCCAATTTCATCTGTTGAAACTAGAGTAGAAGAAAATAGTTTAATTCATTATAATTCGGTCGCGAAAAACAAAATTAAATATCCATACAATTATACAATATTATGTGTAGGTTACTAACACGTTTGGTATTAGGTACTATAAAAATCGGTTTGATTTTGAGGTTGGCGAAAAAAAACCTCAAGTAAATATATTTTTTAAATTAATTTTTACACTAGTTATACGTAAAAGTTCTTAATACTTTAATGCGTATTTACTGTGAAATCCTTTTAACGGGTAGCTGCAAGCACATTCGTAATAACGAGCAATTTAAAATTGCCGGCAAAAAGTTATGTAGCTGCTGTTACATTGATTGTAAATATTGCAAATTTAATCAATGGCTATTATAACATCTGATACAGTGCACACTGAACACTATAAACCGGTCCCAACTTGATGATTTGCTTACCCATTGGACATTATATACATACCTATTTATGTGTGTATATTATATAAATAGTATTTATAAATAGTTACACTAAAATATATTAAAAACAATGAAAAGTGGGAAATACAGATTTAATTTATCATAACATCTATATTATATCTGTTACACAGACTTAAAAATGAATAAGCCTTCATGTAACTACAAAAATTTATTTATTTTCAATTTTTTATGTTCAATAACTGAAGTTTCTGTTTAAAAAAATAGCAGTGCATTTAACGCATAAAACCCATGGCAGCAGTGTATTGAACAATCGAAAACAATTTAATTTACCTAATAAAAAAATCGAATAATTAATATTTCGGATAAATAAAATCTTATCATAGTATGATAGTACGTGATATAATTCAGCATAATATTTGTTTTATCAATCGAAAAAAAGTGACATAATATTTTACAAAAATCAATAATAATACTTTTGTCATCTTATATACCGGACGACTTATAATATTATGTAAGTTCCGAACTTTTGTAAAGATTTTAGATTTATTTGTCTACAATTGCGGACGACACTCCTGTGCTCAGAAGATATTTTTAATTCTTCACAATTTACTATTGTCCGATATTTAGAGGTTTGTAGTACCTAGCTGACGAGCAGAACCCTACTCTGATGAAATAATATCACTAAACTCTATGATTTAGGCGTACCTATTTGATACTTGGACAGGCTCGAGAGTGAAAGGATTCTTGCAGAAAAGAGGTTGCTTACTTCGTACGCGCTGCATTACGTATGGTGTTTCCAAAGATGTAAAACAAAAATTTCCATCTTAGAAGTACAAAAAAATATGAGTATTTATATACTGGTTAGGTACGAGGGAGCCTTGAATAATATCCGAAGACTTAAACAAAGGTTCTCCGGGTAAAAGTCCAATTATTAGATTTTTATGACCAATAAAATGTATAAGGCCTTCAAACATTGTTGTACGCATTGGCAAATTCCTTTACGACTGAGGTTGGTCAGATGGTAAGCAATAATTACTACAAAGGACCATTTTCATGTTCTCGTGATACATAATAATATACAATATATTAACATAGGTAAAAGTATATAGCATAATATTTTTATAAACAAAAATAATAATTATTATTATTACTATTGGTATAATTTAAATAATATTGCATAGCATGTTATACTTTTTTTATGCTTCGTGTACGGGTTTTAACATATAATAACGGTTTAATGATTAAAAATATATACAATTAAATACATGTTCTACATAGTTAACTTATTTATAACATTATTACGTCCCAAGGTAAATACGGCAGTTAACTTACTTTCTATTTCTCTATTAAGTAAATTTTACAACTGTTCAATAAAAAGTAGGTATAAGCAGCACTCAAAATGCAATAATACTTACATCGTATTATAAATTAGCCAGTGAATATACTACAATAATTGTTGATGTAATATTATTGGACATTTCATTTAAATTAATGTGTGATTTAATTTACGTTTAGTTTTGAAAGTTATAATTTTAAAAATACAATGTATATTTGTCTTCGCGATCTTTGCAACATTTTGTCTTACTAGCATTTTGAATAATTTGGCAATCAATTCGAATTGGTTAGAACATTAAGTGGGTGCCAATAATTATAAATTGTCGTCGTACGAATAAATAAAATCTTTGTACCAAAATATTGTCTAAAAAACTATTTTTTTTGAAATGACATACCTAATTACGTACATAACATGAAATACATTTGCAGTTGAAAATCTATGTAATCCGTAGCTCTATCATTTAACGCAAAAAATGTTGTTAGCATTAAATGTTGGTTGTTACACACAATGTTAAGAAGACATCACGCCCACATGTGATGTGTCCGTCTTACAACTGGACTACTTGAAAAAATTTTCATTCAGCTGTTAAAATGTTGTGTAGTTAGCATACAAAGCTTACATATTACAATGAATCTGTTATTTCTCGAAAATTATGGGTACCTATGCGTAAAATATTAATATTTAAAAAAGTAAAACTTTAAATGTTATCAAAATCGACGAGAGAGGTGATAATTTTCTTACCTTTAAGTTCGATAAATCATCCTAAAATTGTAAGTTAACACAAAAGTGTGAACTGCTGAACATAAAAGTTGATATGTTATGCATTAGTAAGTGAAACAATACACGCGTGTACGAAGTTTTCTTAAATAAAAAAAGCTTTGCAGTAGATTTCCGAAAAGATTTTTTTGTTTTGTTAACAATTATAGATGGTTTTAAATTTTACAATTTTAAATATGATCAAAACTATTTTAGGGTACTCTACTTATAGGAACATAAGATTATTTCATTTCTTTGACTCAATCGGTATCGGTTGCCTAATTGTGAAAGTATAATAATGCTAGAGTCATTATGTGTACCTACCTATATTGAGTTGCAAAAACGATTAAGCGTCTGTACACAGCTATTTTTATCAAATCCAAATCACATCATAATATATATTATAATACCTACATTATTTCGTATTAGCGACCAAGAAATACCGTTTGGGGGCAATCGTTGTAACTTGTGGTCTATACCTACTTTAAATAGGTATTTATAACAATAATCATTAATGATGAACAGTTAAAAGGCATTCAATTTGTTTACTAGACTATTAGGGGAAAACAATCAAAAAGCAACGCACAGTTATTAAATATTCGTGAATAGCCAAAATAGATTTGAGAGGGAAGGGTGCTGCGGTGAAATCAACTGAGACGAATTTTCTGTTCTCGTTTACTTGAATTTGCTTCTACTTTGGCTCCGGAAGTACCATCTCATGAGAGTATTTTTAGAGAAGTATAGTTTAATCTTTTATCTATAAGTCCGGACTCGTGTAAAGTAATTTTAGCAAAGTGTCATTATTTTGCCTTTGGACTCAATTATAGCGAACATCATTACAGACAAATACTGTATGATATTGTTCATAATCATAATATTTGGCTTTTACCATGGTTACAACCACAGTTATCAACTCGTTGAAAACCAGTTGATATAACCGTAGTTATAGTGAAAAAATCTCATTGCAGTAATATCGTAGTCTTTTTCGCTGGACGTTTAATATATTCATGGTACCTATATCTATAATAATACATTTCCAATATTATTTCGTCTGGACTGCTCTGCAGTAGTTCTTGTGTGACCTAATTATAAAGGTTTTTTTAATCTGTCCACGGAGGTCATGACGATTTATTTTGAACTTTGGTCAACAATAGCCAAACAGTAATGATAAATATAATGAATATTATTGAACATCTTTTAGGTATTTTATAAGACCCTCGACCCATATAGTATGGTCTTAGCTATGCAATTTATTAAAATTTATCATAAACGTAGCTATATACCCTAAAGAATAAATCCACTCGAGGGTTTACATAACCTACTATGGGTAATTATTATATTATCACTATATGGTATTTACTTAGGTACCTACACATCGTGTGTGCTTACGTATAATCAGCGCGCTACTAGGTATAATATATCTGGTTTCACTATTCTTGGTGTTGTATTAATAAATTGACCATCAATAATGCAATTACGCGATCGATACGCGATACCTCGACCTACATGCGAGCAGTAGGTATATATGAAATAATAATCATTACAATTTACAAATGTTACATTATTATTAGTGGATCCATGATAATAACGTGATTTGTACGCGATCGCAGTGCACTGCAGGACGTCGGATACCTACCTACTAAATAATATCGTCTTCGGCAAGTGACCTTATGTATACTCGTAATATCGCTTGCTGCAGTCGTTTCTGTAATGATAATAATAACAATAATAATAATAATATGACCTTACGCAGCAACGTCCAAACACACTGTGCAGTTATTAAAGATGGGGTTTTTTTTCAGCAATTTCATTATTAATTTTTTTAAATTTTTTTTTTTTGTCTGCGTTTTCTCCATTTTTTTCATTCACACCGTGAATTATTGTCCTACTGCAATTTCGTGCCAAACAAGTTAAAAATTTACCTAACTCGTTGTCATTGTGTTTTAATAATATGTGCTCGATTAAAATTCTGTGGTAAACAAAACTGTACGTCACCGTTTTCTTCATCTGATGTAATTATATCGTGTCATAGTATACAGCGTTCTGCGGGTAAATGTGTCTCATACCACAGAAAATGTAACTCTCATACGTCGTTATCGAAACTGCGATATTGTTTTTCATTTTATTTTTTTTATAACTCATTTAAAACTCAAATTATACAAATATTTTAGACGATAATTTCCTAATATTGTTTGAAACTCAATTATTGTTGAGATCACAAAAAATAAACTTTTATAATAATAATAATGTTTAATTTAATATTTAGTTTCAATAGTATTATCAGTGTAGGAAGTATAACAGGTATAATAGAATATGTTTAGACGTTAATTAACAATAATTAACATATTGTGAATTTAAGGAAGCTTGTAGGTGCCTATAACTACTTTTAAACATTCTTCCGTCAATAATAATTAGAAAAACAATAGAGAGAACGTTGATTATGTAGATACCACAGATCTCACCACAGAACTGACCAAGACCTTGCAATAATTTCCTTGAAAAGATCCAAATAAAATATCAAATCTTCCTCCGTGAAAATAAATTTAATGTTTTTGATATAATCTGTTTTTTTATTTTTTTTAGATAACACGAATGAAACATGGCGTCTGTTCTAGTGAACATGGCCATCGACAGATATATAAACCTCGTGGACTCCATAAGCGGTAAACTTTTCTTATTTTTAATTTTAATTTGTATAATTAGGTAATATAGTTAATTATATTACACAGAACCTACAAATATATTATAACCATTATTTTACAATCCCAATAATAATTGTTTGTTTCAAAAAAAAAATGTTTTTCGTTTTTAATACAGACCCCCGAGTGAACGACTGGCCATTGATGGACAGCCCGTTCCCGACACTTATCATGGTCATCACATACTTATATATCGTCACATACCTGGGGCCTAAAGTAATGGCCAACCGAAAACCCTTCAAACTGAACAATATACTAGTGTGGTACAATGCTGGCCAAGTCATCTTCAGCCTCGTCATGCTGTGGGAGGTAGGACCTATTGCAAAAATTAAAAATAATAACGATCACCGCGACTTTCAAACGTCATTTCTCACCAGATTTGAAATTCAGTTGTCAATCATGGTAGATACTAAATCGTTGCGTAATAAAAACACGTTTTAACACCAAAGAACGAAAGTCAGTGAGGTGCGCGATGGAATAAAATATATGGTTTTGAGTGTCAGTGGGTCAGAATCTTCTTTGGACGGGTGTAGTAGGTACATATATAAAATAACATTTCCAAAGGTAGAAAATAGTAAATAATAATAGTTTATTCAGTTATATAATTTGAGGTATAACCTATTCCGAATAGGTGAATTCTGTAGGAACGCCTGAAAAAATAAACAATAATAATAATAATCTAATGAGTACATATATTCATCGTACTGCTTGATGTGGAACGCACAAATACCAAGTTGTTTCATCACAGTAATACAGAGAACCGGAATTAACTACGTATAGTCTGTACAGTACGTTTTAGCAATTCAATAATTTTAAAAAATGTTTAATTCTTATGAATTTTGTTCCTATGCATATAGTATGTAATAACATATAATATTATAAAAGGCGTTTGTGGGCAGATGTGGGTATTAAATTCACTAATCGATTATAACAGGTATAAACGACAAAATATAGCTGGGGAAATACTTGACGCTGACTGTTGTCTTTTCACAGAGACAGTCGTTTAAGTCCGTGTGTTATTATTTAAAGACACCTCTTCACCCAATGATACACAATACGATTGCAGACAACCGCACGAGTGGTGACGAAAGTACGAACACGGATCGTCGCGGAAGCTCTCCGTCGCGATTTCTTCGCTTGCGGGGAGTTTGTAGACGTATCTGACCTTGACCCATTTCTATCCAGATAGTTTTTTTCTCGTCGTTTCGTTGGAAACCAAACATCGACATTGAAAACCGAGAAATCGTTATGATATAATATCATTACACAACTAGATACCGAAAAAGGATACGTCGCTACGTAAACACCGCTTCGTCCTTTGTTCCTGCAGACTTTTCAGCCGTCCAAAAGTTGGTCACGCCGCCGTCACTGTGTTATGGAATAATAAGTCGTAAAAAACCTGAAAACGAAGTTTCAGCACTCGCGGTACAACTCGTTGCGCTCCGAGCGTACTTACCTGTATATTATTATAAATTCAGTGGTATTCAAGACGTTGGAAATCATTGGAGTTCACTTGTAGAGTTTAGTTATCGAATATTGATGAGATTTTGATCGACAATAAATTGTCGGCAATTAAAGTGGATAACAAAATATCAAATATTATAATACGCAGTTCATAAATTAATCAGAACGTTCATCACAGTTGACTTTTCGATTTTTATACATTCTCATTAATAATAATAATGATGATACATTTTTTCAAACAAACGATAACATTTTTTCCAATAACATTTAGCATTACAATTATAATCTAACCTCCTGAGAACATAATTATTTATACATAATATGTGCGCCGCACTTATTACGCTCAAATTGTATATTATGTATAGAAGAATTTCTTATTATTATCGATGGAAGTATCGCAGGCGGCAGACTAGACTAAATTTTCCTAACGCTGATTAAATGGTGGTGACATTTCTCAGTGATATAAATATCGAATTTAGAATTATCTTAAGTCAAATTTCGAACGGAAAATGTAGCCACGTATGAAAAATCTAGTATAATGTAACCAAAATATGTACCGTCAAAAAAAAAAAACGTTTAGAAAAAGGTAACCGAATCTATAACTTAGTATAATATTATAATAATAAATGCAGCCGACTTGGTGACGTCACGCGCACTCAAATATTATATTATTATTAAATAATAATATAATGTAAGGTACACATGGGCAATGCGAGTGTGTGCGTATACATACCTATCTACCGGGGTATGATGTAACACGCGGTCCGGCAACAAACGCCCCTCTTTTCCTGCCCTCCCGCCCGCCCTGCCGTCCTTGTGATGTAATCTCCACGCCGACCCAACCCCGGCCCGGCCGGCTCACGTTCCTTTTTCCTTCTTCGTCGTCGTCTTCTTCTTCTTCTGCCGCTGCTCACACTTTCACTCGAGCCGCAGCTTGACGGCACCGGGTCACTCGCATCGAGGTCATGATCACTCGCGCGCCACGTGTTGTTCCGCCGTCGCCGTCGCGCCAACGACCGAATGGACTATTGGACCGATCGCGTTTATCATTCGTTTGTGGATCGCGTGGCTTGTCGTTTGTGGCACGCGCAAAGACTGTGCACAAACAATACAGCGGACTCGCCCGCGGGGAGGGACGACCCTAAGTTTTCTAATAGCATGGTGCGCTGGCACCTCACCACTCGAGCGATGGAGGGTTGCGGGGGCACTCCACCCCCCCCCCCCTCTTATCCCGTCCGAAATCTTAGACGATGGAAATATTGTTGTCTTGAGCATATGATATTATTTGACATAAATCTCAATGCTTTACTTATTATATTGAATATTTTAACCATCGTGGAGCATGTGCAAAAGCAAGACGTGTTTTCTAATTATTTTATTTGCATTGGAGTTCATTAATAAATCCATAAGACTACATAGGAGCTAAATATAACATAATTAAAACTGCGATGTGTTCGATATGACAATTACATACTAGACCTAAAATTCACGTTTTTTTAGAATCCACTTTTATGCGGTTAAAACTATTATAATTTCAGTTTGACGTTCAAATAAAATACGAATTTTTTTTTATAAAAAGTGTTTACTTATTTTATTTTCGAATAACAGTAAAAAGTAGCCATCTACACATTTTCCTTAATTTTGGTATTTGGTGGCTGCAAGTCAAATGTCAATCCTATCATAAACGCCGTAAGTGCCACACGCAATACAATTTTATAGTTCTACTTGAACATTGTCTTACGATTTTACTTGATTGTAGGTATCTATTAGTTTTACAAGACAAATTAAAAGACCACTACTATAAAATAATTCCAACCGTATCATTCAATTTATTGTCTCGTTAAAATAATTAGCGATTTAATGATAAAGTTATTAAGCTATGGATCGCAGTTCTTAGGCCGTAATTTGTCTCTGTTCGTCCTTGTTGGTCCAGTTGGTTATCGTCAGTTAGCCTGTTTAATTGCACGGCCTTGTCAATAGGTATGATCCACACAAAATCAGTGTCAAAAAAGAGGTTTGAGTACCATCTCCGCATTAAATTGGTATAATTATTATCAAGTATCAGCACATCTTTAAACTATAGGTAGACGATAATAATTATAAAATTCAGTAACAATTATTTTAATTTGGAATTTCCAGTATAAGTCATTCGAGATGTATTCGCTCGATAAACAGATAAAAAAAAACAAATTCATGACGATGTATCATAATATTAATATACTCGTCTTAATAAAGGTCGCTTATTATTTTATTTACTTACATCTTCCACGGACAATCAAGTCCAAATAAAATGATTATTATCATGTTTGGCTCCGAATAGTACGGCTAACATTTTTATTACAAACATAATTTTACTTACACATTTTCCAAAAAATCTATACATCACTTGATATGTGCAAACAAGTACCTATTCGTATACATTCCAAAACAAAATAAACTAAAGAATAATAGTCAAACTATTCGTTTATAATATTGTGCTGAGTATTACAATAATCTTTGTTTTATATAACAGTATGTGCCAATTAATTTATTTTGTGTGATTATAATATAATAATGTAATATCAGTTTTTCATTTTAAAATTCCTTAATGTAGGTCAGTCAAATTGTACACTATAACATTTACGCAACTATTTTGACGGTACGGTGAGTTTTGAGGAATTTTGTAACCTTTGCGACCCATAAACCATGTACACCGTAGGCACATACAGGGAAATGAAAACATAACCCTTCCATCGTTTATTCGATGGGCTTTGTACAGATATGTTTCATTAATCTACCGATGACAAACCGCAGTGACGGTGCTTTGCCAGTGTTTAGTGTTACGAAACGTTAAAAATTGCCGAGAACCCGTTAATTATAATAATAATGATAAAAAAAAGAAAGAAAGAAAGAAATGAATAAAATAATTATTGTGCCACCCAGTCGACCACTGGAACGTACGTACGTTGTACACGCCCCGGGGTTATCGTGTAAAATATATACCTAATATTGTTAGTTACACAGGCGTATATAATATTAGGTATAATATAACATAGTTGCTTTCGAGTTTTTGTCGAAAAAAACACGTATTATGAAATAGGGATTCGATAAAAATAATTATTTCCTTGTACAGACAAGAGATAACATCAATATATTATACGAGTATTGGCAGTCGTGTACAAATATCGTTTGCTAATTTATATCGTCGATTATTTAATTAATAAGATGGTACAAAAATCAATAAATAACGAATATTATTTTTCAGCACTTGATGAGTGGATGGTTGTTGGACTACAGCTACAAATGTCAACCGGTCGACTATTCACACAACCCTACTGCACTGAGGGTATGTATAATGTATATTATGTAACGACGGCTAAACAAGGCGATTATCTGAGTATGCTCACACCCTTTTTTTCTTCGACAGTGCAGGTAATCAAAATCTAACTTTTGGAATTTTTAAACATACATAAAGACCATAGAACTATAAAATTCTTGAGATTTATTTGCACTATTTTTAGGAGTGTTCTGTGGAAATACAAACCTCTGTTTTCAAACGAGAACTCCAATTTGCTACTATACACTCGTGCTGTATTTAAACTGATCGTTCAAATTTTGAATTAGATACATCAAAATTATCAAAAACATGATGCCAAAATTAATTTGCCGCGATAAAGAGTAGTTTTAATTTGAAAAGCAGAAGTTTCTATTGCCACTCGACACTCCTTAAGTAGTATAACAATTAAAAATGCCTCAAGAATTTGAATATATAGCTTTGAGTAGGTACTAGATATATGTTTAAAAATTCCAAGAATCAGTATTTGATTAAATTCATTGTTGACACCTACAGGAAAAATGGGGGGGGAGGTGCTTGCTAAGTAAATCACCCTGTTTAGTCGACTAGCGAGATTCAATAGTATACCTATATATTATTATTGAGATGATCACCAATGTCTAACTCTCGGTATCGTGGAAAATATTTGATACCGATAACATTTTAGGATTATTCGATATAAGTGGTAAAGTGAGGTATATTAATGATATATAAAGCCACATAGAATATTCATATTTGTTGACTTTATTACAACGAACATGTACCTAAAAATAATTTACCAGTAAATTTCAAAAAATTGCGTCGAATTGTTCATGTAATGCTCTACATTGACGTACTGTCATCGAGTGTGATGATGAATATAATACGAGTATTTCTATAAATTCTATTCTTATTCCTAAAATTGAATATCTCCAAAATTTGACATTTTTTTACGTTGTCAAGAATATATCCCGCTTTATCAAAATTGTCTGTGTTACAAGTCCCTAAGAGATTTCGTAGATTAAAATTTCTATCCAACGAACGCACACTTTTGGTTTACAAAATAAACTAAATTTAACTTGTTAAAACGTTTGAGATGCATATATGGACCAGCAGAAATGATATTATTGACTAAGCTATAATAAATTTAGTCGTAAACAGATTCAGCTTTCATTAAGTACACGAAATACAACATTTTAATCTAATCGATACTTTTTCGTTACTATATCGGAAAAATTTAAATGATTCCATCAGTGTTTGAAATTGTTATGCAGTTAACCATTCACACTATAATACCTAATAATACAAAATAATATACTGACTGATTTCAACATTTTTTATAAATGCTAAATTCGCATAAAATCTCATTGCGCGTAGTGTTTTACCTATGTAGTAGGTATACTGTAATTCATTCAAAATGTACATTGGTCAAAATATGGGAAGCAGGATTCAGTCCTTCCCCGATAAAAATTAATAAATAAATACATGTGGACTATTCACGCCTAAACGATGATGTAGTAAAATTAATTTTGTCGACCCGGTCGTGTTTCAGATGGCTAACTTGTGTTGGTGGTACTACATATCCAAATTGACAGAGTTCGTTGACACGGTAAATATTGGAAGCCACCATCGCACGCAATACGACGTGGTTACATAACACTCATATTATTATAATGCTCGTGTATTGTTCCAGGCATTTTTCGTATTGAGGAAAAAGGACAACCAGATCAGCTTGCTCCATCTGTACCACCATTCGCTCACACCCATCGAAACGTGGATTTGCGTCAAATTCATTGCCGGTAAAATATGCGCAATACTATTTCACCGCTGCAGCGTTTATTCGCGAAAGTCATGTATACCCTGGGTTCCCGCCACCCAGGAAATCACTCTGACCCAGTTCGAACCCCGCAGGGCCGGGAAATCTCGAAACACAATTCGTTTAAAATACCCCAAGGAAAACGCGCGCGTGTAGGTTTCGTACAATCGCGGTCCTCGACAAATATTCTAGTCACGGAATCATAATATATATAGCTCCACTATACGCGTATACGTGAATGCATGATGTATTTAATTCAATTATAAAATATGAATTAGTATTACAGCATACAAAGTACCTACGTCATTAGCGCGCGATAGTCACTAGTTTTTGTAATTAATTTATAGCGTCGCCGTGCGTTTATACATTGTATTATGTAAGCTACTTAAAAATATTTTTTTCATATTTTTTAAACGTTTTACACGCCATTTCGTAATTAAATCATTTTTTTTTTTAACGGCAAGACTTGTTATACAGTTTTAATTTCGACGACCTATTTTATTTTCATATTTTTATCGAACAAAATATATTATAATATATAGGTAGGTACACAAATAATAAAGATACCTACATCGTATTATATTTGAACCCGAGTGACGAATAGTTCATATAACACTAGTTTAATAATTCAACGGCAATACTTTATTGTGTATTTGTGTGTGCACTGTATTTGATACCTAACTAATGGTTTTATGTCATTGTTTACAGGCGGCCACGGAACATTTTCGAACTTGGTGAATAATATGGTCCACGTGATCATGTACTTTTACTATATGATGTCCGCGATGGGACCTCAATACCAAAAGTACCTCTGGTGGAAGAAACATTTGACCACCATCCAATTGGTCTGTATTAATACGATGATAATATTATATTACTTCATAATAATAATTCCTATGATGAGGACGAATCCGAGAGGAGAGGGAGCTAAGGACATACGTTTGCTTAATACTGGATAACACCATTGATTATAAATACTGTATTTATAATTTATGTATATTGTATTTGTGTTGTGACAAACTGTTGCCCCCTCCCTCTACCATCTGAATTCGTGCCTGTCATAATAAATATAAAATAATAAAATATATTAATAATAAAATAGTTTTTTTCCTCCAGTCCCATTAACGACGATATTGTTTTATTGATTCCCACAGCTCCAGTTCACTCTAGTGTTTTTCCATTCAGCCCAAGTGCTGTTCTTTGACTGTGGATATCCAAAACTGGTGGCCGCCCTACTTTTGGTCCACTCGACCATTTTCTTCGCTCTATTTTTCGACTTCTATCAACAGGCGTACAAAAAGAACAAGCTGCTCCAAGCCAAATCGCAGTAAACGTGCAACCGCATCGGATCACCACAATGAAATGACTAAAAATCCAATAATGGCAATACAAAATATCATCCAATTATTACAAAAATGTAATGTTTAAAAAAACAATCACATTGTTTGAACTGCACTGCAGCTGCAGCTGTAACTGATGCATCGTTAATTATTATGCGCTGTGTGTCCAACTGCAGTTAATTTGTATTATATATATTTTTGTACTTGTAAAATATGTGACCTATTTAAGTTGTTCCCAAAAAGTAAGATATAAGTAAACAATGCACATCACTTTGGTTCGTCTATCGATTGAGACAATCAAATATGTGCGTTGATAATATTAAGATAAATATAATTATAATAATCAAAAACTAGTGATAATTTTTTTCAACTATAAATATTGATGTATGCTCATTAAACTATAAAATAAGAGTTATAATACTATTATAATTATATTACATTATATTATACAATATGCAATTATAAATTTACTATATTATAATGCGAGCGAATAGACATTATATTATAACTTGACATTTATAAACGATTAAATAATGAGACTTCGAGTTTATATTCAATGACAATATTATTTTTAACAAATAAATGATACACCTAAAATAGGTACCTATACTAGATGTCCATAATACCGTTTTTGTTTTAAAATAAGGACGAATATAACCTATTTATATTTTATATTTAGAATAACTGTTTCTAAAAAATCATGTGTTAATAATAACTGCTGTAATGACATGTAATCAATATCATTTAAGACTGTATATTTTACGTTTCAAAAATCTCGAAATGTTTGTAGTGACATCCATCACCCGTCCTCAGATCATGGAAATATGACTGTTGTTTCAACGAATGTATGCAAAACACAATACTCCTATGTACATGAAACGCACGGTATATTAAGGCGTATTATTAAACATAATAATTCGAAGTATCGCACTATGACGTTAGGTACCAAAGATAATGTTGTATAATATTATTTTTTTTTAATGTAAAACAGTAAATTATTTTTTATCAAAAATGTAATACCTACCTATTCAATTAAAGTTGTCTATTTCACTGATTTATAAGAATATAGCAGATCATTGCTAAATATTTAAATTATTCCTAGACATTTTAACCCATATTTTGTATCTTTAAATAAGATGAACATTTCAAGACGTTATCCATCAATAATATTATAATAATTTGGGAAAAAAACTAATGACTAAGCCACTAAGGAAGCTAACCAAGTTTTCTTCGCCGTGTATCTCTGCAACCATACGGGCGTTGTTGGTGCAACTTAAGTTATCACTACAATCATTTATCAGTCATATTATTTTTTGAATAGTTAAACGTGTTTACTTTCTAATATTATTTTTCGATTTTTCGACTCACCGATTTTGGGAAAGTGATAAATACTTTTGATTATAAATAAATAGTTTTTTGATTATAATATTTATTCAATCTAGTATTGTTAGATAAAAAACTCTCGAGCTTTCAAAAGATGTTTATATGCTCACTGCTCAGCCTTGTAGATCCTAGACCATAGGTATTTTTTGTTTAATATAATTATAATAATTAATTTGGTACCAAGTATGTTTGATGCATAATATATAGGCACAAGCAATTTGAAAATAAAATTGTTGAACTCACAATTAAATAAAGTTTGATTTTATATATTATAAATAATTAATACGTAATATAGCAAATCATGAAATTCTACGGACTAAGGAATAAAATCATTTTTCACAATATATTATATTATAGTGAAAATGAAAATAATAACTAAAGTATCTTGCTTCTGTCCGTCCTCAAATTTTGACAAGTATGCAGACTTATGTATTCAAACTATATTTTTACTTATTATTAGTGTTATTATTATATGTTATTAGGTAAGTATATAATAATCATTCCATTTCAGTCATATTGATTATTTTTGTAATAAAATGCACAAAATGGAAACTAATTCAAATTTAATTTGAAAAAATATTATTATGATTATATAAAGAGTGAAAAAGACTTACAAACAATATTTTGAATTCATCAAATAGAAGACACTATCTCTTATAAGTATTACAAAATATATATCAGTTAAACAATTTTCAATAATTTTTTTTCTTACCTATTTTCCCAGAAATAGGTATAGTACCTATACATAGGTAAAGTATAGGTATAATTATGTCCTGTATGTGCTAAAAAAAAACATTTTTCCCTATAAGGAAATATCTTAAAAAGAATGTGGACACTTGTTTCTTTTAAGTATGAACACACTACGTTTTTAATTCCTTCGATACGACAAAATCTGTTAAATTATTTTAGGGCATTGTAATTAATTAATAAATAAGGTGTACAAAGGTTTGAGTTTTTAGTTTCTTATGCTCATCAGTAATTTCTGATTTTAATGGTTTAGTTATTTTTTGTAGATTTTTACTTCTTGCACAATAATGTTTTTAATGCAAGTTTTCAAGTTTTTCGGGACACACTCGAAAGAATGTGCCACACATTCATATTTATACGATCAAAAATATGTCATAATAATATGTATGTAGTTCGTGAACCAAATCATTAAAGTAGGTACAATTATTACTAAATATGTAATAATACAAATGAAATTAATAATTAGTAATGTGTAATCATCAACGAAAATTTAATATAACTATCAATCATATATTGTAGGTACATATAATGTACATGATACTTCCATCATTAGTAGGTATCGTATGCCCACCCTTGTTGATTCTAAGTAATAACTAATAATATACATATTATGTTGATTAATAACAACAAGTTTATGATTACATTATTAGTGTCTAAACTCGACGGAGTAACGTTGCGAAAAAAGTAGGTAAGTATCTACATATTTTAACCAAAGTATAATTATTATAATAAATATAGACTAGGCCAACTATTATCAATATTTCGTAATACTTGTGTATTTAAACTTATATGTTGGCTATTTTTTCACTTACCTATATGACGTATATTGGTGTTTTAAGACTTCAAATGTGACGTTCTGAAAAAATCTGCTTAGGTCACTAAAGCGTTTTTTTTATATTAATTAGCTAATTTGATTTTTGTTTGACTGGAAATTAACTAACCTGCAACATTATCATTTTTATAAAATAATTGAGAAACTATACAATTCTATTTGATTTAATCAAAAACTATACAGTACAATTTAATCTAATCAAATACTGTAAGACTTGAGTATAAAAAATTGTAAAAAATAAAATAAACAGCATTTTAAATAATATTGTAATCACGTACCTAGTAATATGAGCACTTATTTTTAGCATCAACCCAATGTTTCAAATCAATGAAGAAAAAAAAAATTAACTTAAGTGCAGTACTATAGACTTCAAAATATTTAGTTTGAAATCAATACGAATTGTTTAAAAGGAAAAAAAGTTTGGCTATAGACCTATAGTCATAATTTGTATATTTCTTTTTAACATAACTTCTATTTACACCACCCGTTACATGATACTTGAAAGTTGAATTCATGAACACTGCGCATTATTGATAAAATAAAAACATCATATCAGTTACATGAAATGACAGAATGATAAAGGACCTCTCAGTGGAGATACTTTATCATGAAATATACAATCAATAATACAATAACAGATTATAGATTTCAAAATCAGTTTCACAGTTCACTATTATAAGTAGGTACCTACCTATTAATTCGTATTCGTTGCGTAATAATATTAAAATATATTGCATTACAATACTGTTTGAGAATATTATTATATGACCACCATAATTTATTAGTTTTTTGTCAAAAAAAAAAAATAAGTATAACTTGATTCATTCATTATTCTATCATATTATTATGTATCTCGCAACATAATACAGACCAATGGTGTTTATTTTTGAAACGATTGTTTCCCATGTAAGTATATTTCAATAACGATAAGCCGACGTTTTTGAACACGCGCTGTTTTGTATTTTTTAATTTATTTTTTATTTACTAGTTGAAGGTCTCGACGAAAATGCGTTGTTATTTTGAAATCCGTGAAAACATCGGAAGAAAACTCACGCAAGGTTATATACTCATCTTCCAACCTTAGTCGTAAGAATTAAAAAAAATGTAATGTTTCGGTCGTGCAGACTTCAACTACTCGTCGTGTCCAATTAAGTACCACCGTACATTATTCCGGTAATTTATAAAATGCACATACACAATATTATATCTCACACGTAGATTATAATATTATATTGTTATATTACAATATAATATTTAACTGTATTTAAATATACATCATTTGTGGTAGAACCTATATAATGAAATAATATATGTAAAACTAAACAATTATACTTGTGTGTTCACAATAATATTACGCAACTATCTTTTTGCCGTTCCAACATGACCATCGGCATCAATTAACGACCTTACCCGCTTCTATGCTCCATGAACTCAAAACGCGTATAATTTTCAGCTATGTGTTTCCAATAAATAATAATTGTTAAAAAGACTAATAATAAATAATATTCACTCGAATGAACGTGGTCGAGCTGAAAATAATACAATATGCATCATTGACGATTTTTCATATTTCTTATATAATCCTGCATAATGTCCCGAAGTCTAAACTTTTGAATTTTGCCAGAGACAGTTTTCGGAAAGTCGTCCATGATCAAAACGTGGTTTGGAACTTTAAATCTTGCGATCTGTAATAGTGCCAAAAAATATATAAAATCGTTTAATTTGTTCGACGTATTTTTTAATATAATAACACTCACGTTGCCGTTGCAATAATTTTTTACAGTTTCTTCGTCAACAGTGGATCCTTTTGTAATCGTTATGGCGGCGCATACTACTTCACCGAGTCGGTCGTCAGGTATTCCAAACACCTTTTTACGAGTAGGTACAACGAAATAATTTAAAAAATAAAACTTGGTTTTTCGATACGAACCTGTGCTTGGATGATTTCTGGGTGAGACTCCAAGAAATACTCGATGGCCTGCGGTTGTATATTTTCTCCACCTCTGATGATAATGTCTTTAATCCTGCCAGTGACCACGCCGTAACCATCTTCGTTCAAAATTAAAATATCACTAAACATGGAAAACAAAATATTGGTATTTTTATCGTATAATACGGTGAAATAATTAACTAATAGACTTAGGAGGTACCCAGATTTAAGCCAACCGTTGCCGATTGCCTTCTTCGTCATTTCCTCGTCGTTCCAGTAACAGGGCATGACGTTGTAGCCCTTAAACCAAACTTCCCCGGGTCTGCCCATCGGCACAGTGATCCCATTTTTGTCCACAACTTTAACCTGAAAATAAATATTATAATACATTATAGTCTGGACATAAACGTGTTAAAAAATTAATGTTAAGT